GTGACAAAGCGAATAAAAGAAGAGATAAGGAGGAAGAGTGAATGGAAAGAAAAGAAGAGAACAATTGAAAAGGTACAAAGAAGAGGAAGATATATTTGCAACGTAGCAGACAAACGAAATTGGATTAAAGGCAGAAATGAGTGTTAACTATTGATGAGCAAATCATAAATGCAAGAATTTGAAAAGCGTCACAAACGACGTGGTTTTTGCTGATGCGGCGAAGGAAGAACAAATACCTGTTTGTGAAAATAATTCGCTTCCACAGAGAGGGCAACAATGACATTATGTTAAGATTCATTCTGTCGTTAACATTACCAGCATAAAAATAAAATTTGAGGAAAAGCTACCTTCCCCCCCACCTCCGTGTGAGGCCAGAAGGTGATCATTGCCTCCAAGGCGCTACTAATGGAGTCAGGCTTAATTAATGGCATAAACTGTAGCATGCGCTTGTAGTAGTATTGGTAATTAATATCCCGAGTGAGCTGCTGGCACCGGGAGGCACGGGCGGCACCCGCTCTGTATGACGTAAGGCTTTGGCATACCCAATGCACACACACACACACACACACACACACACACACACACACACACACACACACACACACACACACACACACACACACACACACGCACGCACGCACTAATGTGCGTGTGTTTTTATACGTATATATAAGTGTATCTACATTTATCTTTCTATATGTGTTTGTGTGTAAATATATATATATATATATATATATATATATATATATATATATACTTATATATATATATATATATATATATATATATATATATATATATATATATACTTATATATATATATATATATATATATATATATATATATATATATATATACTTATATATATATATATATATATATATATATATATATATATATATGTGTGTGTGTGTGTGTGTGTGTGTGTGTGTGTGTGTGTGTGTATGTGTGTGTGTGTGTGTGTGTGTATATATATTTATGCATATGCATACACATATATATGTATATATATATATATATATATATATATATATATATATATATATATATATATGTAAGTTTCTATACACAAGCAAACCTCCCACACGCGTACTCTTCTCCGGGCGCATCATCCAGCAAGCGGCGCGCTGGCGCACACGCAGCAGCAAAACTGCGAAGCCGAATGGTCTGTTCGAACCCCGCCGTCACAAGGCGACAGCGCGAACACTACCCACTCTGTCCGGTTCAGCGCCCACGCGCGGCGCCCACCTCCTCCCGTGGTTTTGGCCGCCCTGCACGCCCGCAGACGCTCCTCCCCTCGTCCCCGTACTCCTTACCCCTTCTGCTGTTACCTCCTCCCCCTCCCCTTGCGTCACGCCCCAAACATCAGCGCAATCTGCCGAACCTCGGGCGTGCGCGGCAGGAATGTCTACCGGCCGGAGCGAACGCCAAAGGGGAAACAAAAAAGAGGCTTTGGTGCATTTTGTTGTATTCTGCTGCGCTGTATACTGTGCGCTGCTGCTGAATTCAGTGGCTGTGCGCTGTCCTGCTGATTATGAATTGTGCATTTTGTTCTGTGAAGATTTGAGATGTACTGTTTCCTGTGATTATATAATGTCTTCTGTGTCTTTAAGCCGTGTGTTTGTGCTGTGGCCGGTGTACTGTGGCTGTGTGGTGTAGTTGGTCGGTCGGCTGTTGTGTTTTGGCAACAGCGGTGGCTTTGACTGTGGTGTCTGCGGTGGATGCGGTCGACGGACAGGTCCGTTGCTGCGGAGACTGCCATGTGTCGTGACCTGTGACCTGTCACCGTGATCTGAGGAAGGAGTAATTTAAGCATGGGCAGAAATGTCTCCCAAGGGACTCGGTGACGGTTTCAATAATGATATAAACAGATTTGTTGATAATAAAGGAATACTATGTCTTTGGCTGTGGCTAGTTCATCTGCTGCAACCTTGAACCGCCATGCTAATATTAGCAGGAACTTCATTAATAACAAATATAGCATCCCGTTGCGGTAATAGAAAATGTAGAAGCGCTAAGCGTTTCGCCAACTGACATTACTTGTACGATGGCTAAAAGTGTGCAAGTGGACATTTACGGCTGCAGGGATGGGGGTGGGTGGGGGAGTAAGAACGGAGTGGAGAGAGAAAGAGAGAGAGAACGAGAGTGTGAGTGAAATTAATAAAAGAGGATATGAAAGGATATGTAAGTGTTAGAATGAAGCAGTATGTAAGACAAGGAGAGGGGAAAAAAAGAGAAAAAAGAGTGAGGGGGAAGGGATAGAGGGAGGGTGATAGGGAGGGAGGGAGAGAGACAGAGAGACAGAGACAGACACAGACACAGACACAAATACAGACAGAGACAGAGACAGATATAGAGATAGGGACAGGGACAGGGACAGACAGACAGACAGAAAGAAAGAGAGAGGGGAGCCAGATATAATTGTTGACGACATACAGAAACAGAAGCAGAGACAGAAAAGAAGTGTGAGGAAAAGAGGGCGAGACCTGTAAAAATGTC